TATCATTTAACATCTTACAAATTGAGGGAGCATAAGTAAATAGTGAAAAAAAAGTTTCGGTCGATGTTTATAATATAGTTTGTTGTTTGATGTATATAATAGAATAATCTCTAGCAGCATAACGTTACAAGCTTCCTTAAATATTTTATATACTTGAGAGTCGCGTTTAACTAAACCTGAAGCAATAGCAGTATCTCTAAATGTACTGTAATGTATAGCGTTGCCCATAGCGTGTAAATCAAGTTGCCCAATTGTTTAACTACGTCTCACTCTTTTTCTTCTAACCCAAGGTTTTAGCGTCGACTTAAAACAGTTATATTCTAGGTTATCCACGTATCTAATGGTTTTTGCGAAACTATTTATTTTATTTCATTTAAACCAAGACATTATGGCTGTTTCGGAATTTTCTATATCTTTTAAAAATTTTATTTTCTTGAAAAACTAATTTTTGTTGATTTTTAATAGGTACTGGTGAGTTAAATACAGAATGACTTCGTCCACACAGAGAAAACTCTTGCAATTGCAATGCTGCTTCCATATGGCTTAAATAACGACCTTCTACATACTCTTATATTTCATTAAAAATTTATGTATCGTTTTCTTTATGACTTGTATAAATTACAAAGGATAAACTAAAAAAAAAAAATTTGAAACGATCAAAAATTTCTTGCTACATATTTTTTTAAATGTTTGCTTGATTTTCGGAATCATTTTGAATAAATATATTCTCAGGATTTTTACATCTTGATACCAATACGTATAGTTGGCCCTGAAGAAACAAAGGTCTTTTGTAGTAAAATCCTTCTTTATTAAAACTTCGACCTTGCGACCCCTTCGACATAATAACCGATAAAGATAAATTATAACCAGTATTCAACGTGATTTTTGAAATGAAAACTTGATTATTAGGTTTTTCACCAGTTATTATTTCTGCTTCTAAATTATATTTAAATAACTTTGTTACAAGTGGTGTTTTCTCATTGCACAAGCCATCGAATATACTTAGGTGTCTAATGACATAATAATAGTATCTATTTGTTAATTCAGAATGTGGGGCGGTAATCCTTCATGTACATTATTTGAAGTTGGTATAGGAAAATTTATGTTTATACATGTTTATATATGTTTGCATAATCTATGCTGTAATAAGTATGTTTTTTCCCTTTAATAACATTCAAAATTTTATTGTTTAAAATATACGAAAGTTCGTTGTAAGTTATAAGAATGACGTTGCTTATGCAGCTATTTATATTATCCCCATTTATTTTATTACAAACGTCAACAGTTTACCAACCTTTAGGAATTTGAAAAGACGTTGTGATTTCGTTTCTAATGTCTATAACATGTTAACAATAATTAAAATTGTAAATCTATACACCGCATATTACTTTTCAGTTTTATAATTTTACAGTGTTTCCATAAAAATGAATACCAAAGAGTTTCACTAATTATAAAACTTTTACACTCATGCTTCATTATTTTTTCTAAAATTGCGTCAAACTTTCAAAAGACTTAGCTCCACTCGCCCAATTTAAAAAAAAAAAAAAAAATAAATGTAGTATCGAA